ACTACTCCTCTAAACTGGTCATCTTAGTTGTTTTTTATACCCTTACCATTAAAAAAAAAAAAAAAAAAGCATGCACCCTTCAATAAATGTATATATATTTTAATTATGCAGATGTACAAATGTGCATAGTAAAATATATTTACCAAATAGAAGTCTTTACAGAGTGAGATAAACAAATGAACTTACTGTGAGTTCTCATATTTTCTTTGAGCACCCAGTGACTGTACTGTGCATGTGCACCTGTGCACGTGCACAGGCACGCACGCACGCACGCACCCACACACACACACCTTTGCCCATAGCTTAAGGCTCACTGCATTACCTGCAGTTCCCTGAATGCAGTGCTCTGGTATCATCATGCTGTTATATGTACTATGATTCTCTCTGCTTAGAACAGTCATCCATTCATCTGGCCATTGTTCTCCTTCCTCCTCCCTTCCAGTCCCTCTTCCCCCAACCCCTGCACCCAACTCTACCTGGTTACCTCCTCCAAATACGGCAATACTCATCTCAAGTGTCACCAATACTAAAAGTTTTCCCTGGTCCTCAGGACCAAACCAAAAACCAAACTTGTTGCCATCGAGTCAATTCTGACCTTTTGGTTAGAAGCCGTAGCACTTAACCACTATGCCACCAGGGTTTCTAATAGGACAGGGGCCCCATATTATAAAATATTGTTATTGTAAGTTGCCATCAAGTTGGCTCCAAACCCCATGGACAACAAAACGAAACATCGCCTGGTCGTGTGCCATCTTCATGATCATTGGTATGCTCGAATCTATTGTGTGGTCATTGTGTATTTTGAGTGGCATCCAACCTACGGGATTATCTTCCAGTACTATATCAGGTAATATTCTGTTGTGATCCGTAGGGTTTTCATTGCCTAATTTTTAGAATTGGATCACTAGGCCCTTCTTCCCAGTCTGTGTTTGTTTGGAAGTTCTGCTGAAACCTGTCCACCATGACTGACTCTACCAATGTTTGAAATACCAGTGGCATAGCTTCCAGAATCATAGCAACAGGCAAGCCACCACAGCACAACTAACTGACAGATGGGTGGTACATTATAATATATAATATACAATATATAATATATATTATGCCTGTCTCTACCACTAGCCAGACACAGTCATCCTTGAAGGCAGCAATTGTGGTTTTATCTCTATCCAACCCATCTCACCTCCTGTCTCTCTCTAGCATAATGCAGAGCACATAGTAATAAACACTTGTCAAATAAAGAAAAAGGGTATTCTATAGGAATAGTTTTCAAACTTTTTAAAAAAAGAGTGGAACTCTTTTTTTCCAAACAAATCTTCAATTGAATCCTAATATCTGAAACTGTCAAAAAAAAAAAAAAAAAAAGGGAGGTGGAGCTCCTTTGTAATAAGCTGAGGAAGGAGGTAGCCTTCCACTAGCATCATTGGAGACCCAGTTGTCTATTTAATTAGATTAAACTTTGTAAAATTATCTAGGCCCATAATTCTGCTAAAACTGTACCCTGATGCCATTTTCTTATTCTAATAAGAGCTGGGACCTTGCTCATCATTGTGTCCCCAACACTCAGCACTGTGTCTAGGTGCTCAATAGATACTTTCGAATGAACAAAAAAAGTCTAAGGTTTCTGAGAACAGTAACCCATCCCTAAAGCACTCTTAAACCATTTCTTGAAATTCTGGGGATTTGCCATGAACAAATCTGATTCAAGAGAAATGGAGTGATGTGAAGACAGACGTTGGTAATGGTGATCCACAAACAGCAGCAGCAGTGAGGACATTACCTATTGTATTAAAGGATACCCGTAAAGACAGTAAAAAGAATGATCTTCAGGAGCTTGTCACTTGGGAGAAGGAGCATTTGGCCTTTTGAAGAAAGTCAGCCAAGTAAGATTGCCCTGGATATGGCATAAGCTATGCATTATTCAGTTGGCCTTTATGACAAAGATGCAAAGCTCAACAAGCAAGTTGACCTTTCACCACTGTTGCTCTCTCCTTTCCAAATCAGGCCGTTATCACCTAGCTAACCTTCTGGAAGAGCCTTTTAAGTGGCCTCATCATATCCAGATTTTGATCACTCCAATCTACCCTATAAAACGCTTTGAAACCCTGAGCGATTCCCTACTACCTATGTAAAATCTACCTTCCTTAGATGTGACCTTCACAGTGCTCTACAATCTGGCTCCAACCTACCATTCTAGCCTTCTCCACCACCGTTCCACTGCTTAGACAGCCTGAGCTTCAACAAAAAGCATTTAATCACCCCTCCAAGGCATGCCCTCCACTGCATCTTTGCTATCCCACCACGTTTTTCCTGGATGCCCTCCTATGTACCTGTCTGCTGGAATTCTACCCATCTTTCAAGGCCTGGCCCCACAGACACCTTCTCCTTGAGGCTTTCTCTGATGCCCACAATTGAAATACAACCTTAAATAGCACCACTCTTCAGTTTACAGAACGCTGATAGATTTTATCTTTTTATCCTCCTACCAGCTCTCTTGGAATCTGGTGGAGCAGTGGTTAAGCTTTCCCTGCTAAAAAAGGTCAGTACTTCAAATCTACCAGCTGCTCCTTGGAAACCCTATGGGGCAGTTATACTCTGTCCCATGGTGTCGCTATGAGTCAGAATTGACTTGACAGCAATGGGTTTGGTTTTGGTTTGGTTTACCAGCTCTTAGGTATCTTTATGCCCCTTTTACAAACTCAGTCCAAATGCCTTGCCAAGATCATGCAGCCAATGATAGTGTAGGGGATTAAAATGCAGGTCTTCAGAGTCCAAATACCCTAGGCTTACACCATGCTATAGCTGCTACTTTTCAAAAGCCCTTCCTCCTCTGTGATCCCAGCGTGCAATACACTTTCAATAGCACATTAATCCCAGTTCCATTTTATGTCAATTTGTTTATGTTTGGGGAAGAGACTTTGTCTTGTTTATCCTAGCATCCCCCAAGGTACCTACCATGTACTTTATACATAGCAGGCAATCAGAAATTAGGCCGAATTTAATTCATTTAGGTTTTTTTATTTTCCTTCATGGCAAGTTCCAGAATTTCTGCTGAGGTCAGCATGCTAGAAGCAGAATAGGGTAGAAGTTGGGAGTGTGTACTCCTCCTCAGACAAGTTACTCAACACCTTTGTGCCCAAGTCTCCTTATTTGTAAAATGGGGTCAGTAATCATTATTTCTTCATAGGATTATTAAGAGGATTAGATAATGTACTTAAAAACCCAGGGCCTGGCACAAACCCTTGATATATATCAGCTATTATTATGTATTCCATTTTATGTCCCCCTATGTCATGTTTCCAGGGCCAAAATTTATAGGTCTTAAAAAATGATTACTCTAAATCAGGTGAAACTGAAATAACGTGGAGTATAAATTAAGAATGCAAGGAAGCATATTTAATAAATTATATAAAGATCTCCCTGAAATAGCTTTTTTAAAGTCCAGTATATAAAATCCCCAGTTATCTGGGGGAAATTAATTTACACTGAGTGACTCAATTTATCTTATGTGAAATAACCAGGTATTAATCAATATTAGGGGAGGAGTTCCTGGGTGGTAAAAATGGTTAAGTGCTCAGCTACTAACGAAAAGGTTGGTGGTTCAAATCCACCCAGAGGCGCCTTGAAAGTCCTGGCAATCTACTTTTGAAAGGTCACAGCCATTGAAATCCCTACTGAGCACAGTTCTACTCTGAAACCCATGGGGTCACCATGAGTTGGAATCGCCATCAGGAGTTGGAATCAACTCAATGGAAACTGTCTTTTTTAGTATTAGGGAGAGTATGTGAATGAATATGTATATTCATATATAATGTATATACATTCATATATAAAGAATATATATATATATCCTTTAATTTTGCAGTGACTAACATTTTTCCTAAGTACATGGTGCTAGTCAAAGGCTTAAGCAATTAGAGGTTTCTGACTCTTCTCCTGAAGGCAAAAGGCAAGCAGAGACTAAACTCATCTACCATCTGCTCCTCTATAGTGGTCTGCACAAAGCATACTATTCAATCTTTAAGGAATTTACAAATTACGCAGCCAAGTGAATAAATAAAAGGTGTTTAGTGACATTTATGAGTACACTGGAATAAACTCCCAGAGGAGCTGCTGTGTCTTTTTTTTTTTTTTTAATTTTATTGTGCTTTAGGTGAAAATTTACAGCGCAAATTTCTCATTCAAATATTTATACACAAATTGTTTTGTGCTGTGTCTAATCTTGACAATGCACCGAGGTGCCACGCCTGAGTAAGTTACACTGACTCCTAGTACAGACCTGTTAAGCGAACGCGAGGGGTGAGAGCCTTCATATGCAACAGGCCATTCCTTTTACAGGGTCTCGGCTGTAAACCGAGAGGGTCGGAGAAGGAATTTCTATTTCCCTCCAGATCTAAGCTCTATGATTCTGTAACCTCTTTTGGGGGCCACCACGCACAGCGAGGGCAGAAGTAGTGTCCATGAGCAACAGTAAAAGCCAAGCAAAGGGAAATCCTGGGCGCGGTTAAACTTGGAGCGATCAAACTAGTGTGGAGGAGTTAAGCCTGCAGCCAAGACAGTTACAACAAAAATGACTGGGAGGGACCGGCGTGGACAGGGACCTCGGAACTTAGCACTGAGTGTTCTGAAACTGCTCTTCTTATGGGCATGGCAATTGACCTGGGGAACACGCACACCCACAGACAAGGAGCCTGACCCTGGGTTAGCCGTGGCTTTCAGTTACCAGCTCAAAATAAACAACTTAATGCAAGTACGGTCGCAGTGAAGAAATGGATTCCCTCGATTCATGGCGCCCCCATGAATCCTGCCATCAGACACCCATCAGCCTTCTAAGCTCACTCCCGTCCGCGGAAGGCGGGGGGGTGGGGAACTGCAGGGGGAGCCACATGCTATTCGAATGCAGCCCGGGCCAGGCCCAGTTGAGCCCCAGTATTTCCTCACCCCCGGCGCCAAAGCCGCTCAACGCGGGGTTCCGAGGCGGGAGAATCAGGTTCTGTGCCCACCTTGGTGCTGGGGTCCGCGTCAGAGCAGCAACTGAAGGCAGCCTCGTCGGTGAGGCCACTGGACTCAGGCTGCGGGTCCGCCATGGCCGCACTCCTGTGTCGCACACCACGAGTCCCGGAAACCGCGCAGACACTGACACTCCACCCAACCCCTGCGGCTGCTTTTACAGGCTCCGGCACCGCGCCGCGGGGCGGGCGGCCGCTGACTTCTAGTCAATCGCTGAGCGGAGAGCAAGTTGGCTCTCTGCTAATTAGGTCCCAGTGAATCAGCGCCTCCGGCTACAGGGGCTCCACCCCCAGAGACTACAGGTCCCAGGGTGCCTTGCGCATAATGGAGGTGAGCCCTTAAAAAAAAAAAAAGAAAAAAGAAAAAACCCTTCAAAAATCCTGTCGGCTGGAAAGCGTGATTTCTCTCAGTTAGTTGATGACCTAATTTTGTTTCTGCTTACCTGTTAGACTTCAGTAACCACCCATACCTCCGAGTTGCAACTTGGTAGAAAATTTGCCAGGTTTAGGAATCGGACGGAAAGAGAACTGAGAGTTACTCTTTTTAAATTATAAGGACCCAAAGTCTTCGTTTTCTCAGTGAAAGCAGCACGAGATAATGAAAACAACTCCGGTTTAGTCAAAAACTTAGGTTCAAGTATTAGCTCTATAAGCTCGGGATAATTACTGACCCTTTCTAAGCTTTCTTACAGGATTTTGGTGAAGATTAAATGAGATTTAAGTCATGGTTTGACTATCTATGATTCAAATATCCATAACTTTCAGTATTTTTTTTTACATTAATTTTTCTAAGACACATATTTTAATTGTGTACCCTGGAAAGCATAGTCACCACTGTGTCTTCAATGATTGGCACATAGTAGATGTTCAGTAAATACTTCCTGTAGACGACAACAGGTTTTAGTTTAAGTGTAATTTAGGGAAGAACTTTATGTTAATAGATGAATGAGGAATGAGATTTGATAGAGAGTTTTTAAGTGAATAGGAGGATATATGTAAATTTGCAAGAAGATAGATGTAAGGATTTTTGGTTGCAAGGGTTTGGGCAAAATGGGAGCTTATTGGCTCCCCTAATCAAATTGAAGCAGGGCCGGATGCATCTGGCACTAGCCACCTGACCATCACCAAGATGTCGTCGTCTCTCATCTCAGCTTCTGTCCGCACTTCAGCTCAATTTTGTCAGACATGCTTGCTCCATGAATCTAGAAACTTGTCTGTCAGCAGTTCCAGCTTCTTAAGGGATATGGGGGGGGGGGGGACAGATAGAGATCTCTTTCCTGAATTACAATTTGCTAAAAATCTAAGGAGGAGCTATGATTGGCCTGTCCTATGATTGGCTTACTCCTGTGGTCTGGGCACTGTGATTGGCAGTCTGAATTGAGCACCGCTTGGTTGTAGTGATGGGGAGAAGCAGTTAAACCAAAAGAAAAGAGATGCTGTTCTTATAAAAAGAGAGGGTTGCTGGGCAAACTGAACCATAGCTGTTTACTGCAAAAAAGGTTGGCAGAATAAGAATTTTAACAAACTTTCTGCATACCTGGTACTAACTTACTGAGGAATATTTTATCAAAACTCAATATACTAGAACTATAGACTTTCAGTATGGAGATAGACCTTAAAACTGTTAAACCTCTCAGGAATTGAGGCAATGTACAGACCCTCCATACTTTGAACACTGCAACTAACGTTTTGCAAAGAAAGCTCAAACAAAAGAAGGCTAAAAGGTAATATGCACCACACATAGAAACAGAAGACAGCAATAGTGGGGAAAGAGTAGTTCAGAAATGGTCCCTGTTTAAGACACACATTCCAAACAGAGCTTAGAAGTACTCCCTTTTCTGGTAGAAGGGGTGTATTAGTTTCCTATTCTGTGTAACAAATTACTACAAACTTGGAGGCTTAAAACAATAGAAATTTATTATTACACAGCTCTGAAGGCCAGAAGTCTGAAATCAAAGTGTCAACAGGGCCACGTTCCTTCCCAAGGCTCTAGGGGAGAATCCTTCCTTGCCTTTTCCAGTTTCTGGTGGTTCCTGGTGTTTCTTGGCTTGTGGCAGCATCACTCCAATCTCTGCTTCTGTCTTTACGTGGCTCCTTCCCTGTATTCTGTGTCTCAAATCTCTCTCTCCTTTCTCTTATAAGGACACCAGTCATTGGATTAAGGGCCCAACCTAGATCCAGGATGACCTCCTCTCAAGATCCTTAACTTAATTATATCTGCAAAGACCCTATTTCCAAATAAGGTCGAATTCATAGGTACTAGGGGTTAGGACTTGGACATATTTTTCAGGGGAAACAATTCAACCCACTACAAAGGATATATGCTTTTGTCTTCTTTTTGTTAGTAAAAATAAAGATTAGAAAATCTACTCAGAGTATATTTAAATCACTTTTATGGTTAGCTTTATTTTCCTTCGTAAGCATCATTTTATTAGTTGCCTAGGTTCGTATTGTCAGGTGTTTCAGTTCTGTGCATTGGCAGTAGTTTTTCAAATAGAATGGACAACTAAACAAGGTATAAATGTGCTATTACAGCCACAAGCCAAGAATGCTGGAAGAAAAGCTCAAGGGAATAAGCTGTGGTTAGTTATTCAATATTTATATATATTTTACTTGCATGGTTGGCTACTTCAATTGTTTTTTGATAATATGATCATGTGGCTGTGTTATGACAATTATAATAAATATTGATAATCTGTGCAACTTTAACTGCGTATTCCCTATAACATCTAGACATTTCCAGTTGATTGTCTTGACATTTTTATTTCTTCGAGTAGTATCATCTTTCAGTTGACAAGGCTTGAATCCAAACTCATTATGGACTTATAGATTTTTGGAACTGGAAGGGAAGTTAGAGATCATCTAATCTCCCTCCCTTCATTTCACAAATGAGGACAACCAGGACTAGAGCAGTTTGAAAATCTCAGGGTTAACTAATTAGTTGGGTTATTTATTAGGTAGCACAGTCCCAAGACTAAAACTCAGCTCCCCTGATTACCAATTCAGTATTTTTTTCTTCATCAAATATACTAATATTGCTAATAATCACAACAACTAGCATTGATTAAACCATTACTATGTACCACCATGCTAAGCATTTTATATATATTCCCTCATTGTATCTTCAGGAACATTTAATGCTCAGGGTCTTGAGCAGACTAACCACTTACATCTGTGCTACATGGTATTTTCTTTCTATTAAACTTCAAGAGAACTCTGTGGAAGGCTTAGTTTTCCTCTCTCTTAGGCATTCTCAAGAGTGCTATCATTTGGCAATATTCCATGAACCTAGTTTTTTGCCAACATTAACGAACTAATGCATGGACCACGACGCCACAAACCTAATACTATCATGTTCATCTTTAGAACTAAAAGTCTGTCCATATTTACTATTCTTTCTTTAAAATATGTTTTCAAAAGAGGAATTTGTAGATTAAGGTATATGATTAAGGCTTTTTAAGGGCGATGATAGTCTGTAATTTATTTCTTACTGTATCAGAATATATAGATGTACCTCTAACAAGAAAGAATAGCAAAGACTAAACTTGTTATAACTCCATATGCGCCAAAAGTAGACAACAAGACTCAATGGATCAGAGAGAGACAGTTTATCACTCACAGCACAACAAACAGCAGGAGTATCACATGAAAGCCAGTTTCCCAGCCTCCAAATCCCACTCGGCAACACCCATGGCCCAGTGCACACAGTGGGTTGTGAAGCAGCTGAGGAACCTAGGGCTAACAGCTCAGCATCTTTTGTAGCAAGCAGTAAATAAGCTAGTCCCCTTCCGCTGGGAGTGAGTAGTTGCTCCTTAGTCACACCGTGGTTTCCTTGATCTACTAAATTGCCTATATGATTAGCTAAGGAAATAGCTCAAGGTCTAAGGGTAATTAAGTCTTACAGCTTGGCATACCCCACAGAAGTGTACAGAGGTGCTCTGGGTCCATAGGACACTGCCTCTCCCAATAATTTCATACTGTATAATCGCTGCATAATGGAATGGATGGGCCAAGGTTCATTTCAGGTTTATTTAACCTTACTTGTAGCTCTTATACAGGTAATGGGTTTGTGTGTATGTGTGTATGTGGTTTTTGTGTTCATTTTTCCCACTTGGCAGATGTCTTAGTTTCCTAGGGCTCCCATAATAAAACATCATGAAGTGAATGGCTTTAAAGAAGAGAAATGTATTCTCTCACAATTGCGGAGGCTAGAAGTCTAAATTCAGGGTATCAGCAGGGATATTTTTTCTCTCCTCTCTCTAGATTCTAGGGAAAGATTCTTGTCTCTTTCAGTTTCTGCAGCCCCAGGCATTTCTCGGAGTTGGTTGGCTCCTAGATGGTTGCTCACAGGCTGTCCTCTCCCAATATGTGACTCTCTTTTTATAATACAGCACTCAGAAGGGATTTGGTTCCATTCTACTCTTACTGATAGTAGTATCCGCACAGAAGAAAAAAATTTCCCCAGACAAGGTCACGTTCACAGGTATAGGGGTTAGCTCTTCAAGTTATCTTCTTTGTGGGGGACACAATTCAATATTCAATCCATACCAGATTTTCCAGTCCTCATTTTAGATTGATCTGATCTACATTAAAAGATGGACTTGAATACCTAACTAAAATGGACACAAGGAGTTACCTGAAAAGCAGAAATATATTGGAAAGGGGAGGGAGGTGGACTTTGAGAAGTTAACTTTCTTCATTATCTGTCTATTCTCCACATTACCAGTCACCGTTTTCTGATCAAACTAACTCAACAAAAAATATTTTATGTTCTCAAGGGAAACACTAACTAATGTCACAGTTTGAGTAGAACTGCCCCATAGGGTTTCCAGGGAACCGCTGGTTGATTTGTACTGTTGACGTTTTGGTTAGCAGCCTGAGCTCTTAACCACACCACCACCAGGGCTCCTGTAAAGGTCATAGAACACATTACTTGATATATTTATTCATTTCCATGCTATGTCCTCAAAATTTATTTTGCAATCTCCCAGGCCTCCAACCCAAACCAAACCAAACCTGTTGCCATTGAGTAGATTTAGATTTCGACACACAGCGACCCTATAGGATTTCCAAGGAGTGGCTGGTGGAATCCAATTGCCAACCTTTTGGTTAGCAGCCAAGCT